TCCCTCAGGGCGAGCTGGCTGGGCTGATGGTGGGGCTGCTGGCGTCAGAGCGGCTGTAGTCGCTGAGCGAGCCGGTCCGCGAGCCCCCGCCGCGCCGCTGCAGCATCCCCCGGGTGGAAGTTGGCGTGGCGGCGCGCGTGCTTGGTCAGGTGGTCGCTGCGCATGAAGCGCTTGTCGCAGATGGGGCAGCTGAACTTCTTCTCGCCCGTGTGTGTGCGGTAGTGCCGGGCCAGCTCGTCGGAGCGCGCGAACTTCTTGTTGCAGTCCTGCCAGCTGCAGGCAAACGGCCTCTCACCTGCGGGCGACATGGGCAGAGGGTCAGTCTCCGAGCACAGCCACCCACGCCACCCCAGGACAGACCCCAAGACCCCACACCTGCTCCCCCCAACCTGACTGCCCGCACCCCTCCCTGAGCCCCTTCCTGCGCGCCCCATCTCCGCCAGCCTGAGCGATAAATCCTTCAGGGCAAAGGTGTGGGTAGCAGCGCCTTACAGTCCACACGGCAGAAGGAAGGCGACATCTCCCAGAATGAAATGGCACCATCTCAGGTGCTCTGGCAGAGCAGTGCCACTCAACGCCCTGTTCGGGGTCAGCTGTCCCCGGCCTGTGGGGAGCACAGCCAGGCCTCAGGCTCTAAGAATGGGAGCCAGGAGGAAAGGGTTCAGGGAGAGCTAGCACACCTGCAAAAGTCTGGCCACCCGACTCTGACCCCATGGGAGCCTTCCAGAGCCCCACACCCCTATAGGGCTTGGAGGTGATTAACCCCCTGCCAGTGCCCAGCCACCATTTGAACCCTCCTCCTTCTTCTCATCTGTAACACAAAGGGGTCAGGACAGACAATTCACAGGGCCTGAGAGTCTATGACAGAGATATCAGGTTTACCACCTCAGGCTTCAACTCGAATCTGCTGCACCTCCTCTCAGAGGAGTTCCAACATGGCCAACAGGCTGCAGAAGAGGAGACTGCTCGGTGACAGACAGGGTGGCTGCCCAGAACACCCAGTGAGAGGGAGGTAACAAAGGCTGGCTACAGTCAGGACCTCACCCTCTCCCTCCCATCCCTTGCTCAGAGCAAGGGACAGGCCAGCCTTTACCCAGGTGGACTCTGAACCACACACACAAAAAAGACATCAGTTGCATAAGGAGAACCAGCAGGGGTTCCAGCACTCCAGAATGCAGCCCTTCAGGTACTGGGGGTGGCCACACAGCCACCATCTCTGCCCTGTCTCTCTCCCTCCCTCCCTGACTCTGGCCCTGAAGCTGAGAGCCAGTCCTTGAAGCTGGCCCTTCAGTACCCAGCAGAGGAAACCCACAACACCCACTCCGAAAGAGTCCATCAACCTTAAATATAAACAGACACCCAAAAATGGCCAGATGGCAAGGAAAACCAGTGGCATGAACAGGAGAGGCCAAGCGTAACAAAACCAGACTCCAGAGGAAAAAGAGTGAAGCCAGGAAACAGAAGAGAATATTAACCAAAAAGCTCTAATTAGCATTCTCAAAGAAATTTCAGACAAAAATATTATGCATAAAGCAGATAGGATACCATAAAAAAGGAAGTTCAGAGAACAAAAAATAGTGTTTAGAAATTCAGAGTATTGTTACCAAAACAAAAATTCCATAGAAAGGCTGGAAACATACTCAAGGAAATATCCCAGAAAAAGAGAACCAAAAAACAACTCTAGAAAATTTGTGACTGTCAGTGTTCTGTCTCCTAGTAACGCTGAAGCTGATTGACTTTATGTTTGGGGTGGCAGGGTATGTGTGAGAGGGGGATTCAAAGCAAACCATCATTTCCCAAACCTATCTGATAGTTACAAACAGTCGGAACTAAAAATTCAGAGTCACAGGGAATCAGTCCTGTGGGTGCAACATCTAACTAACAGCAGGCATTGAACAAAAGAGCAGAAGAAAATGGAGGAGAGGAAATTACCAAAGAAACAATAGAACAGTATCTGTCAGAGTTAAAAAAAAGGAGACAGGAAACTAATCTGGAAAGGCTTGGCACAGAGGTGGGCAGGGTAGTGAGCAGAGGCTCCTGCTGTGAGAATATGTGCAATGTCAGAACACTGGGTAAAAAGAGATCACAAAACCTACTAGAGAGAAAGGGGAGAAGCAAGCACCAGGTCATCCACGAGAGAGTAAGGCTAAGACAGACACCAGACTTCTCATAAGTCACACTAGACGCCAGATGACAGAGCCTTCCAAGTTTACCTCTCACATGCCAGCAAAAATGAGAAAAAAAAAACAAGACTGAGAAGCCAGGGAAGTGAGTGAACAATGAAGGGTCATTCCAGGACAAGAGTGAGGGAGAGACCTGGTGGGCCACCAGATCAGTGGTCCAGGTATCAGAGGGATGGTTCCAAGAAGAGAGTGAATTCCAGACACCAGAGAGTACAATCAAGAGGCTGAATAAATTTCAGGACACAGCAAAGGCACATAATATTCTTTGGTTAAAAAGAAAAAAGAGAGGCAATTAGAAACTCCAGGAAAAATAGAAGGTATGTGAGAAAACTGTCTAAACGAGAAGCAAACTAAAATACGACATGATTATGAGCAGAGCAGGAGGAGTTCAGATCCAAGCACTGTTTTAGGGGCTTTTTGAATATTATTTATCCTTCACAACAATCCCATGGCATGGCAGATGGGAATGCAGTCCCAGAACAGACCCTGGCATTCGGAAGCAATCTACACACAGTCGTGGTCATGTGAACCCTAGCACTAGTTGTCAGTGCTGAGAACCAATCTTAAAGACAAAGCCCATGTGACTGATTCATGGCTCCAAGAGAGAATGTGGCTTTAAGGGAAAGGAAGGAATACACACATGTATGGTAAAGGAAATCTCTAAATGAGGTTAAAGTTATAAGGATAATTAACAAAAAAATTAAAAATAATAATATAGCAACAATTCAGGAGGAGGTGGGAGAGGGGTAGGAATGAGGTAAATACTTAAATTTCAGGGTAGAGATTTATTCAGGTAGGTAGCACCTAATTTGTTAAAACAAGAAATAGCAATAAAGGCATAACATTTTATTTATGGCAGTAACCACCAGATATGTGAAATCAAAGCAGTACTGGTCTCTAGAGAATAAGGCTAGCGTGAGAAGAGGATTTTTTTTGTTGTCATAAACTCTTCTGTGTTATGTGTCTTTTAGAAAAGACCATGTGCATTTATATTTCTGATAAGAATAAAAAGGAATGTTGAAATATAACTCTTTAAAATATCTAGCCCAACATTTCTCAAACCATATTTAAAGAAATGTTAGACTTTTTAAAATTGTTCATCGGTTCCAGGGATAAAAAACAAAATCGGCAACAGAAAGTTTGAGAAATGCCACAGGCTAATTCCACTCTTGAAGATTCACCACGCACAGCTGTCCTAAGTGCTTGGAAAGGCCCAGCACTATAGAGTGGTGTCCCTTTGTGTGACTGGGCACTGTGCTCGAGTGTCCTACAGACGAGGCTCAGTCCCTGTCCCCACCACATACTGATGGTGTGGTCCCAGACACGTGCCTTGCTGCCTGGAGTGGGGTAAACAGTGGCCCCACCAAAAGTATGTTCCAGTCCTGATCCCTGGGGCCTGTCAATGTGACCCTATTTGGAAAAAAAGGTCTTTGCAGATGTGATTGACGTAAGGATCTTGAGATGAGATGACAAAGATTAGGAGAGAAGGGGAAAGGACTCCAGGGAGTGAAGTGCCTGGAAGCCAAGCAGCCCCCAGACCTTAGGAGGAGCAAGGAATGGACTGTCCCTCAGAGCCTCAAGAAGGCACTCACACCTGGATTTCAGACCTTGCTCGCCCTCTGAAACAGTGAGGATATGTGTCTGTTTTTTGTTTGTTTGTTTGTTTTGTTTGTTTTTCCCTTGGCTCTCTCTTTTCTCAGATTTATTCGCTTAGCAAGGGTTTAATAAATAGTCAAGCCAGGCACACTTCTGTTGTTTTAAGCCACCTGGTCTCTGGTAACTGGTTGTGGCAGCCACAGGGAATGGACACAGTGCCCCATCCTCACCATGGGGTCCATGTGGTTATTCCACAGGGTTGCACACAATCAGCTCACACTTAAGCTCCCATCTATAATTCTTGTCAACTAGGTCTTCTCAGACTTGAGCCTTGCTTCCTAAGCCCTGGTCCTCACTGGAAGCCTGTCCTTCTCGGGGTCCTTCTGCTTGCAACCTGGGACGCACGTTAGGTGGTTATCACTAGAGCTGGGCTGTGTGACCCCAGGGCAGCAGAGGACGGTGGCATCCCATGAGATGGGATGCTGGCACCAGGCAGCCTGGTGGCAGCAGGTGGGGACAGCCCAGCATTACTACTTGGCCGGCACGAAGCTCTCAGCCAGTTCTGGGGTCAGTAGCATGACACTTTTATTGAGCACCAACGCGTTGCCTGGCCCTGGGGACGTGGGTGTGAGGCCTACAGACAGGGCTGTCCCTGCTCCATCCTCTATCCTTCTGTTAGCCCATTCCAGGAGGCCAATAAACCAGTCCACAGACAGACGGATAAACCATTTAGAAGTTGTGACTCATGCTGGCAAGAAGCAGCACCAGGTCTGGCCTGGCTGGCCTGAGTAGTGACATTTGAGAGGCACCCAGGAGGTAGATGAGGAGAATCGCAAACGGGTGGAGACAGAGGACAGGGTCCCCCAGGACAGCACTTCCCACAGTTTCCATGAAGAGTCATTGGCGCTCCTGTTGACATGGGTTAGGCCCACAGCCATTTAACGTGTTAGAAATTAAAGCAAAAAACTTTAAACTCAAGCACACATTCCAGTAGCCATCAGAGGGATGAAGTCACCACACATCATGTAGCCTCCGGAATATTCCACTCGATTCTTCTGAGAGAATGAAGGACAAGTAACGTTATTGTTATGAAAACAGTTCTGACCTGTGGTCCCCTCGCAGGGTCTCAAGTACCTGCAGGTGTCCCTGCACTCCACTCTGCACACCACTGAGGCTCCAGAGACTGACCCTAGGAGGACATGGCTAAGCTGGGTGAGCATAGGGGATGCACCCAGAGTGTGGGTGGGGGCCCCCAGGTCCTGGTCCTGCGGGGAGTCAACCCAGCGCACTAAACAAACCCGAGCTTCTCCCCAGGCTCAAATTCTGCATCTGCCTCCTTCTGGGCACGTGACAGGGAGGCAGCAGCACCACAGGGCTAAGACAAGGACAGTGTTCAGTGTAGCGCAGAAATGACCCTCGCCCAGACCCTAGACTCCTGAAGGGAGCTCAAGCCTCTTGCAGCATCCCTGAAGCCTGAGCCCGGAGTCGGGGCACTCCAGGGTCACTGAGGGGCTCTTGGGGCCCGAGGGGCCAGCTATGCTGGAGGGGGTGGGTACCTGCCTGCAGGTGCCAGGCCTCAAGGGGCCAGAGCGGAGGGGCGGGGGCCATGTGGGCACAGGTTGAGGAGTGCAGGCCCTGGGCCTGGGGTGCGCAGTGACGGGGAGGCGGGGTTAGTCGAGGGCGGGGACGCGCAGGGAGGGAGGGGGTATGGGGGCGGGGCCGAAGGCGCGCAGGGCGGGGGTTACATAAATGTTCCCTGGCGCCCAGCGAGGCGGCTGAGAGCGATTGCCTCATCTTATCAGGGAACACAGCGTCCCACACTCTCTTGCCCAAGCCGCAGGCCTGGGCGGGGACAGCGTGTTCCCTCCAGAAGCCACAGGAGGCGGGCGGGGAGCGCAGGGGCT